GGAAGAATCCAATCTCATACACAAGTCAATAAAAATATTCTTCGACAGTCAAGTGGCGTTGGAAGCTCTCAGTTCCTACCGAGCAATGTTTAAATTGGTTGAAAATTACCAAAAACGACTCTTTTCAATAGGAAGACTTGACAGATTGTCTCTGGGTGAATTCCTGGCCATACTGGCCTGGAAGGCAATGAGGCTGCTGACTTCCTTGGAAAGGAGGGTGCTGCAAGCAGCTTCATCGGACCAGAACCTGTTATTGGCATCACTTCAGGCTTTGCCAAACAAAGATTGAGCACCTGGATGGCAAGAAGATTTATGGACTTCCAGAATCTCCCAGGATTGGCTCACTCACTCCAAGGCGTTTATTCACCCTTCGAAGCTTGATATCAAGTAGTTGTTGGGCGACAGTAGGGATGAACTACGATGTCTAACAGGCCTTCGTAGAGGTCACTGTCATTTGAATCATCATATGCAGGGACTCGGACTGTCGGAAGACAGTCCAGACAGAAGCTGGGTTTATTTGGTCGAGTGCGAATAGACGTGAGCCACAATAAACCTTTGCGGGTTGCGGAGGAGGGTCGAATAGACCCACTCACTTTAGACCTAACCTAACCTAATCCTCATGATATTCAGTTTCATCACTAACTTTCTTGTTAACATTAACCGTTTTTGAGAATCCTGTGCATTTCATGAAATTCCGATCACCTGTTTGATTACCGATACCTACCTGTTCGATTATATTTCGATGTTTCAGCAAGCATTTTCTAGTACTATTCACCCAAAAAGAGGTAATTTTGTTTCCGTTTACAAATATCCTTTTGACAAATATCCTACACCCTGAAAATATTTGTATTTGAGTCAACGATTTTATTATGATTCGATTCCGATAGATGCTTCCGAAATTCTGGAGTCTGGAAAACCATCGTCAGATGCAATCTTTTTTATGGTTTTGCTTTTCCGTCGAATGTCTTTATTTAGTGGAAAATTTCTAGCTTTATGTATTGGAAAATTGCAATTTGCTCTTGCGAAACCGTGGAAAGTACAGAATGCAGCAATGTGAGATTTCAATTCATTTCCAAATTTATTTATTTGCTGGCTGTAGAGTTTACTTCCTATATGGGTTTCCTGACAGAAATATATAACCTTCTGATTATTTTATTCGTATTATTCTCAGTCAATGAGAAGACACGATTCACTGGTAGTATTTTGTGTAGTTTCAAAAATACAGATAGATTTTTTCCACTTTATTTATTTGTTTACATACAGTTTGAAAAATATTATCAACTTCAAAATGCATGGCTGATCGCATTGGCTGCTAAAACATGGAAGTAAGCGCCCAGTGTTGGCCGTGAGAATAATAAAAAATATCAGAAAAAATCAATAATAGAACACACAAACTGATTCACGTTCGGTAGGACATGTTATTACGGTCAATGTTGAAAAGGAATATGAATTGAACATTTCCGAAATTTACTTTTCTGAGGTTTATTTCGTCTCCTCCTGGGTCATTTAAACGAAAATCTGTTTAAAATCTGTTTTCCCGTTAATCAGCTGTCGTCCCCATACGAACGACAACTCTCAGAAGTTGAGAAACTTGTACGAGCTGAGGACTAACGAGGTCTTACCTTTCAACGTGTGATTCCTAACACGTAATAAAGTGTATTATACTAAAAAAAATACATTTCGAACGTTACATAAGAATAAAACACGAATATAACTGACACTTTCAGAATAATGATTATTTTTTCTGTATTTCATTAGTTCGGACTTCCATTGTCTAATATGATATAAATTGATGTGAAATACCTGAAAGAATCTGTAAAAAATTGAAAAAGAGATTAGCTGAAAAATAACAATTATATTGAGCGAAAAAACTGAAATTACAATGGAATAAAATACAAGCAATAACCATAAAAATAAAAAAAAAATAAACTATCAACCCGAGATGAAAATTACAAATCATCAACAAGGAATGAAAATTGAAAATGAAAGATTCCAAACCAAGTTACTTCACGACGTTTCGATTGTTAGTATCAACAATCGTTTTCGGGTGATGACTGGTCTTATTCCTCCGAGATCTGACTATTTATAGGTCATTCGAGTGCTTTCACGTATCCACACTTCCCTCTCTCCGCTTCATCGGTTTTAGCGGAAGCTGACTGTTTGGCAGGAGTTGGTCGTGTTCCGCTTGATTAGAGGTTTCCATATGTTGCGTATCTCTACGCTAGCTTGGCTAAATGCCTTGTTGGACAATATATATGCGGCTTCTTTGAATTTTCTGCTAAACCAGTGTTCTTCCTTGTGGATGATTTCAGCTTGAGCCCACTTGATGTTATGGTGATGAGTCCAAACGTGCTCTGCTATTTCTCATTTGCTGGTTTCTCCTCGCTGTGTATGTTTCTTATGCACGGCAATGCGAACTATCAATGGCCTCTTAGTTTCACCGATGTATTATTCTCCGCACTCGCAGGGTATCCGTTAAATGTAATTCTTGGAATCGCAGTCCGCATTTGGTGGCCTGGTTTTTGTAAGGCTGCTACCGTTCCCAAATATGAAGCAAGTTCTGTTGTTTTACTTGGACCCAATCCTTCTTATCCTTTCCGACAATCCTCTGATGTAGGGAAGTACAAGTACTGTTTTTGGCGGCTTCTCTTCCTTGTGGAGCTCTTGCTGTCTTATAGCTAAAGCCTGTTCCTCCATCACTTTCGAGTAACCATTTCGTTGAATGTCTTTTTTGATGATGCCTAATTCCTTTCTTTGTGTTACAGAGCCCGAAAGCACGGTCTAGCAGAGTCTTGATGATTCCTCTTTTAGTCCATTGATTGTGGTTGGATTCCTGGTTCAGATACTGTCCTGTGTAAGTGGGTTTTCGATACACAGATATTTCCCATCATTAGACAATGGAAGTCCGAACTAATGAAATGCGCAAGAAACATTGTCAACTACCTTCAAACAAACGATAATTTCTACTGGTCTATCATACATCAAACATTCTTCAATTTTCATGGCAACTAGTCGATATGGTCAACATTATATCAATAGTTCATCACTTATTCACGGAATTTGAAGTTTCGCTGAAAGGAGTGAACAATAAGGAAAAACTTACAAATCCATCTTATTGAATACAATGTGTATTTTTACCTTTTTTTGGCATTATATGTTTCAAACTTCTTGTACAATAACAAATCGTTTAAGTTTGAAAGAACACTTTCACCGAGAAGCTGGAAAACTAAACTCTCAATCCGAAACTCTTTGTTGCGTAGTATAAATTTAATTTATCTTGTTTCGTGGAAAACTCTGATACATGAACCGTTAACTGCGATAAATGATTTGTTGGGTTCCAATTCCGAGACTATTATGTCTCCACACAATCAAAATGATCATTATTATAGAATAACAACAGTCAGGTTCTTAGAAGAAACATTTTCAACCAAAGAGTTCAATTTTCCTCAGCAATATTGAGTGCTAGGTAAATCCCAAATCAGGTTTGATCTTCTAGGTATTACTATACAAATAAAACAAGGTGTGAGAGATCTGGTGAATTTGAAGGCCATTCAATGCCTGTACGGTCACCAGGTTTGCAGCTTGTTGATTTTCGGTGAGCATGCACAAACAGTATAATTCAGAACACCAGGATCTTCGGAAGATATGTATTAAAGAATTGTCGGCGAGTTACATATAATCACTCTGAAAATCCTACGGAATGTTCGTGAACGTTTTCAAATATAACTTTATTATTGTATAGACGTAGGTCTAAACAAATTCAAATTTGTAAATGTAATTTTTGTCATAAAACTATCAGGATGATTTTTAAAATTAAAAATCTATAAACCTATACGGAATATGTTTCTTGTGGTCATCCACTTTTTTTAATGACACAGAAAAAATTGATACGTTGTATCGCTAGTGTCTCTGGTAGCTCTAGTTGTGAATATATTTTTTAAGCTTATCAAATCTTAACCTTGCCGTGTTTGTATATATTTGAAGTATATGTTTTTGTATTTTGTAATTTAAGATCTTTCAAAACTGATAATAAAATTTACACTATTAATACAAGACAGCGAAATGATTATCTTGTGCCATTTTCAAGGAATAATCTTTTATTTAGGTCTTACCCCTTGTGACTGGGCACAGGTTATACAATAAACTTTCGGCCGAAATGAAATCATGTGTAACACTGAAATCATTTAAATAATTTCTTAGGAAGTGCCTGTTGAAAGATGGATTTTATTCCCAAGAGTTTTAGTTTTAGTTATAGTTCTTGATTATATATCTACTTTTTTCTTTTCTTTGACAAATCGTCAACCAAAAACCACTTCCAACACCGTGTGTTAAGTGATCACTGGGTCAAAGAATCATGTGCGCTGAGTAAGCGCAGTGAGCCAAGAATGACAGCTTTCTGCATCTGTCCGGCTAAGATTTGTGCCTTAGTGCGGCAAGGTTGTATGATTTTGAGATTCGAGAGTTGAGAGGGCATCATTCTACCAAGGACTCCAATAATCAGGGTGGTCTGGATAAAGTGTGTGGAATTCGAAGAGAAAATCTCGATATTTTATCCGTTATTCCTTCTTTATTCGACGATATTCGTCTCGCCAGGAGCTGAAAACTCCACGACAAATATCGTTTTGCTCTAGTGGCCTAGAAGGACTACATCATGATCCTAGGAGGAGGAAACAAATAATTCCAATAAATTCGGCACTTCACGTTCCGCGCAACGGATTCCATTTCCCCCGGAGCGTAGGGCAACACCGGGCTTTCACATTCAGCAACTTCGATCTTCCCCGACAATTCCGACGACCAAATCTGTCGGAGTTCGTACTGATACTTGCTGTGGAGAGGGTTTTTCATTGCTGTAACCTCTTGTGAGTGGCTTTGTTCCACCCCGAAGTAAGTATGCGTCTCTCTGGCATCCAGATAGAAAAAATAATACATACCTGTTCAAACAGAAGTTAATGAATGAATCAATGTTTTGAATATAATCGTTTTTTTTTCTGTTTCAGAGCCGCCTCCCATCCGACTCATAAAGTACGCGAAAAACAGAAATCCATCTTTTCGCCGTTGAAAACTGTGCCAAAGTACTGAGACTTATCTAGTTCGGAATCTGATAATCGTTCGAATATCGTTGAATTGAAGACTATTACGAAATCGTCTTGTACCGATGAAGTGTAGGAAACATATAGATGCAACTGAATCGCGGTAATTTCGCGGTAATGACTGTAGTGAAGTGCAAGTGCGTGATGTGGTGATGAAAGACTTATGAGTGCAGATAACATGCACTACTACCCGACTGCCGCATTTCCTAGTGCTGGTTATACCTACTGTCGTTCGGGTTCTGATAGCAGACTGCATCGGAGGGGCTCGCACAGAGATGTGGTCGACGCCTTTGACAGCGGAGACTCCACTTTGTCCGATATGGAAGGTAAGATACAATTGAGAAGATGCTCCAAATTTTTTTTCTGTTATATCAGAAACGTCTACAAATATTTCCCTCCCCATGCCCCCTCTCGATTTTCCAAAAATAGGACTTGATGTCGCCAATGAAGATGAAACATGCAGTCAGAGCTAGCAGCCGACGAGAGTAGAACTAGGTTACGTTAAATCTGAAGTCAGAGAGTAATTTTTTCACTGTAGCTTGCGAAGGTAAATTCAAACTCCACCAGATAAGTTGTAGTGTTTTGAATTTCCTTTAGCCGGATACATTTACGAGATTTGTTCAAAAACTGAGATGAATTTTCATCCCCCCCCACCAAAGAACACTTACTCATCAGTTTCTACTTTGCCTCCTCCAAGGTAGTCCTCCTCAAATATAATATACTTGTGTCAGCTTTTTTCTAATCATCGAAGCAATTCTGATATGCACTTTTTGGAATGTGCTTGGGTTCTCTCTCCTGTAAATTATACATACGACTTTTTGCAGAAGGTAGCAGTAACCAAGTAGGCAGTATTTCAAAATAACAGATTTTCAGGTCGAATGGTATTCGTAAAGATCATTTCCTGATATATTCTCAACTGAATGCAGCGATATGAGAATATATTAAATCAATACAAATCAATTCCATTTCTGATGAATCATAATGAAATAATCAATTTATATGATATCCTGTAAAGTACACATACGACTTTTTGCAGTAGTAGGGAGCAGTAAGCAAATATGCAGTATTTTGATATAACAGACACCAATCGCGTGTCACTTCAACATGAAGACTTTTTCATGTGCTCTTTCAATTTATGCAACAGGAATGGACGAAATGAATTTCATTAACATTGTCTGGTTGGCGGTGAGACCCGAATGGATTCTCGCACGACAACCATACGTTTCACAAGGATATTAGAACGAGAAAAGCTCGCATTGTAGTCTTTTGAGTTGCGTTCACCAAAGGAAAGTCCCTTTGAAGACGTTGGGGAAGAATTCGCAATTTATTATGCTCTGACTCGTATGAGTTGAATGAAATTCGAATGGCACGGTGAAAATTAATCGATTACGAATATACACTCAATTTGATTTCAAATTCGAGATGATAAACCACTGTGCAAAATTATAAATCTAAAAAAAATCTGTTTTTAAAATCTGTTTTTTCGTTAATCAGCTATTGCCCCCATACGAACGACAACTGTCAGGAGTTGAGAAACTTGTGCCAGCTAAGGACTAACGAGGTCTTACCTTTTAACGTGTGATTCCTAACACGGTTGCAGAATCATCCCAGCTTCAACCAGATAAATTCTCTCGAGAAAAATATCTTGTCGAGGCGGGAATCGAACCCACGGCCTTCCGATCGTGAGCCGGTCGCACTACCACCGCGGCTAAATCTACAACAATATTTTATTCATTTCTGAAGCAAGTATTCTACTTCAGAAAACATTTTTTTCAAGGACAAAATACAACCACTACAGGAAAATCCTTAAGGCGCTCTAAGAGCGGTGCCTGTGCGAAAGTAGATATTCACATTGGATTTGAATCGGTGGAGATTCTCTGTATCTGTAGAGTAGGGAGGGTGAGTGTAAGCCCAAAGCACTTAGACCACATGTGACCCATTGTACATCCTCCCAAAAAGTTAACCTCCTAGGTCATCGTCCATCCTGTCCTTTCCAGGAAAATGGACAGGTCACTGGGAGACATCTCCTTTATATCGGCAGGTGTAGGCCAAGATTCGCCGAACACACACTCTCTCATTGACGATAACTCCGGACACTCGCGTAGGACATGCCTGACAGTCTCATCTTCCTGTTCACACATCCTACAAAGAAGTGTCTCCACTAGCCCCATATTATGGAGGTGTTTCCTTAGTTGACAATGGCCAGTCAGAAATCCTATTGTTAAGCGTATATTTTTCCTGGTCATCGCCAGATATTTTTTGGCAAGATTGCATCCTTTGATTCCATCCCGTCTCTTTAGGGATTGAGCACGTGTGTAACATTTGGCTAGTTCCGCATTTGTCGAAGTCATCAGGCCGTAGGTGCCACTGGATCCTAAAATTCTTAGTCCAGCCGCTTCCTTGGCTGACGAGTCGGCAATGCGATTACCTTCACTCCTGTTGTGCCCTTTTACCCACTCCAGGATAATGTTATTATCTACCAAGCATCAGTGGTTGCCTGCAGCAGAGATTGCGCAGTAAGATCTTCTCACCATAGGTTCAGCCTCAATTGACCCATTCCTACTTCGAGGTTCACAGCAGCCGTGCGCAATCGTAACATGGCCATTAACGCAACCTCCTCAACGTACATATCTAGAGCGGTCAGACCCAATCGCTGGAGATTAAATCCATTTGGAAAAACGTTCTCAGGAAGTTCATTTCACATAAACGCATTTCTGCAAATGAACGACTTCTTGAACAGTGAAGTTTGGGGTGTACTGAGTTGATCTTCGAAACAATGAGTAGCCACATTGCTTCGCGTATTTCTGATATGTACCGCTCTTGGTGGAATCAAATGTGCCAAGTCACTTGAACACTTTCCGTGAAAGTATCTATAGAAGAGAGACAAATCTCCAACCTTTCTTCGACGTTCCAGGCTATCAAGGTTGTACGTAATGTTCGCGTCTCCAATCAGACTGTTTTCTGGATGGAATCCAGCAGCTTCAATGTATGCTTAGAGGCGGAGCTCCATGCATGAGAACAATACTCCAAATAAGGTCTGATCTGAGGTTTACAAAGCATCAAAAGTTGTTGGGGTGTGTTCAGCTTTCTGGTTTGGAACAGTGTTCCAAGATTTTAAGAAGCGGCTTCTGCAATTCCAGCGACATGATTGTGCCAAAACATATTGGTGTCCATTTTAACATCAACAAACTCATTGAAGCAGAAAGTGGAATTGTTTTACCTGACATTATTATATCCGGTTCGGAAATATTTATCATTCTTGGAGAAAACCGATGCCTGTTTTTTGTGACATTGAACTGAACCTGGTTGTTTTACCCCAATTAGAAATTACTTCTGAATTCTCATTAAGATATGCAACGTCCTGCTGCCGGTGAAGATGTGTATCCGCCACCGATATCCTGGAATCCACATAGAGTGACGAAACAAGTGTGCTGTCGTCAGCAAAGCAATATATTGGATTTTTGTTTTTCTCCAATAAGTCATTGATATACAATAGAAAGAGGGTTGGAGACAATGTAGATCCCTGGGTGAGACCCCTGTATTGGAACATTCACCATGTTCATCAGGTTTAGCAATGTGTGACTTCTTTATATTCTCGAAATTGAAGGACGCATTAAAAAGAACTATAAACATACTATCAAAAATTACTCAAAAAATTATTTCGAAAGTGAAAATTTTGAGTGAAAGTGTAGCATACTTCAATATACTCAATATATCCGATATGTTATTTTCGACACCACCGATCTATCGCGGGTCGTAACTGCACTGACTGGTGTTGGCTCATAAATGCGTTTTGTTTGGGCCCTGGTTTTCGACCAGTTGCCTTGCAATAAAAGCTGCAGTGAAAGACAGAAGCCAAATCTTCTCGGCGATGACTATCGAAGCTCGGCTTTGTAACTGACCATCTCGTTCATATTCAAGGCTAGAGTTCTCTGTCGATCCCATAGATGTCTCTGTGAGGGGAAATGTCATCGCCCTTATTTACTCAGGCTTGTTCTTCAAGGACAGTTAAGTCCAGCAATGCATTTGTGATTCAGCCTAGCACCACTGATTAGTTCTACGGCGAATTGAAACAGTATTGTCTGGTATAGGGTCATGAATGCGTTATGTTTGGGCTCTGGTTTACAACTAGTTACCTTGCAATGAAAGCTGCAGTGAAAGACAGATGACGAATCTCATCGACGATCGATGTCGAAGCTTGGCTTTGCAACTGACCGCCATAGGGAGCCTTCTTATTTTGTATTTGGGGATTGAGTTCTCTGTGGATTTCATAGAGGACATCTTCGTGAAATGATAATGGATAAATGAAACTGGGCATCAACTAGCACTGATATCTCATTTTTTCAAATGTATACATTCCTCATGAATTCATTCAGTTACAGAGTGCCGCAAACACCACCTCATTTTTCTGAAAACACTGAGTTTTTTATATTTTTGAAAGAAATATATCTTTACTGATCGACATTCATGATTGGCATTAACCATAGGCATCTCACCTCATTATGGCCGTGATGGCCATAATGAGGTGAGATACAAAATTTCAAATTTATTTAGGACGTTTGGTGACTGAGCATGTCAATGATCTGTTGATGATTGAATTGACAAAACTTCTAGGAAAATCTGAAACAATCACATTTCTCAATATTGAATTAACATTGTAGATGAAAAATTGTAATAAAATTGGTTCAGTTAGGATATGGTTGCCATTTTCAAGCTTATTCAAATGACGTTTCATTTTTTTCCAACGATTTTGGTGATACATCAGTAAAGTTACCGACGAATCTTTTTTTCGATTCATTAAAAAAATAATGGGTGATTCGCGATCTTTTACTGCTTGAAAAGTGGTAAAGAGAAGGTGTTTATTTTTAATTATCACTTAAATATTCCAGAACTAATCGTGGAACGTCATTCAACTGACCTCTCAATGTTTCCGATTTTCCCATGCAGGACCTCTTTATTTGAGATAGCTCTACTCATCGAGAACTAACTACTCAACTGTACTCTGTCCATCTCAGCAACGAAGTTTAAAAATCTCTTTTTCCGTTAATCAGCTGTCGCCTCCATACGAACGACAACTCTCAGATGTTGAGAAACTTGTGCGATCTGAGGACTAACGAGGTCTTACTTTTTAACGTGTGATTACCAACACGGTTGCAGAATCATCCCAGCTTCAACCAGATAAATTCTCTCGAGAAAAATATCTGGTAGAGGCAGGAATCGAACCCACGGTCTTCCGATCGTCAGTCAGGCACACTACCACCGCGGCCAATTCCTCCAAGTGCTCCAAAACATTATGATGCTTAGTAAACGTGATCTCCGAGACAAGGCTGCTTGTACAGAGTCGCACTGAGGAACGACCGATTTTTTTCAATAATATGCGGCAGGGTATAGGAATTTTTTTAGGTGGAGTATAGTGACACAAATCAGGAGTTTCTTCAGCCGTACAATACTTTAGGTGGAGTGTAGTGACACAAATCAGGAGTTTCTTCAGCCGTATCAGTACTTGACATTTCAAAAATTTCAAACTTCAATACAGTATATGTACAAATCACAGGCGTTAAAACGTAACTGACCACTCCGACACTAACAATGAATTCCGCTAGCCGATTGCAGTTAACTCTGATTGGCCAGCGTAAAGCTTGTTTATTTCACCCTATAAATGCAAATGTGCGTGGTGATCATGCTTTGATCACGTATACATCTTAGTTTGGTTTGTTTTGTTTGTTTAATGGATGTAGTTTAGTTCGTTCATAGTTTAGTCAAGTACTGGAACAATCAGACCGAAAACAAACTAGCAGCCACGCATAGATGGCTGCAATTGTCACTTTTACAACTTGTCGATGGCCTATCAGAATTAACTCAGTGATGGAAATATCATAAGTGGTTCTTTTTCGATTCATCTCGCTGAAAACGGATCTTTCCCGAGACAGATCTATTTCAGGACAAGTGAAGACTTGGTATACAGGGTGTTACAAATTCGATCCTCACCATTGTGATCTCGGAAACTATGAGAGATACGAAGATGGTTAAATTAGGGCAAAGTTGCACATATACCTGAATAATAATATGCAGTCGAGAAAGTTCTGAAATTCCGACTATATCCAGAGATATCCGAAAACAGAAATTTCGGAAAATGGCTTTATTTTTCGTAGGATTTGAAAATCAATGGCACCTCCACTTTGCCACTTTTTTCTTGCTACCTAATGGTGTTTTCAAATTTGCTATCCGACGTTTCGTCTTCCGGCCACCATCATCAACTTTATTTTTTCTTATGGGCGCTATATTGGATTCTTTCTGTTTTGGATAGAACCAGATTTTACCATCACGATGATGTATCATAAGTTATCATTTTTTTTTCCGAAAAATTGGGGACATTGCAAAAAAATTAATTACATATTTTCATAATAGGCTTCGACTTTGATGTTTCTA